AAAAGTCAGATTAAAATGTCACAAAAGTCAGAACTCAGAACAGATTCATATTTGCTCATCTCATTTCATTCCCTGCTTTGGACCATGACCCTGGGCTCAGTTGTATGCTTTATGACATTCAGATGACAGTTAAGGCCCATGGAACTAACTTGTTGAATTAGGGATGATAAAATTTTTTAAACACCTAGCTGTAATTTAATGTAGCAAAATAAATGTATTTTTATATTAATTGGGTATGTTTATCAAAATTATTAAATATTTCTTAAAACTAACATAAATTTATCTTTAAAAAAATTGAGTTATTAAAAATTGTGTATTTTTAGCACTCTTGCACCGCTGACAACTGGGATGAAGCCTTTCTCTCCCCGGTCTCCTGGTGACATTAATTTAGAGGACGTGGTGAAATTCTCCAGAGCTGGTGGTAAACTAAGTCAAGGAGCGGTGAAATTTGTGGGGCATTTACCGGGTCGCAGTGATGCTTATTTAGGGGTAGAGCTCGACAAAGAGGGTAGGTGTGATTACGAAAACATTGACAAAACTTTGTTATGAGAGATCTCTCATATTTCTTTCAGTTCATTGTTAAAATTTGTTCTAACTTACTTTATTTTGTTTTTCAGATGGAAAACATGATGGAAAATTTGAGGGAATGAGATACTTCAGATGGTATGAAACATGTTTTTTTTTTGTTGTCTATAAATATTGCTTTATTTTCCTGAAAATCTTAAATTACATATCTTTATATGTTCTGTTTAATTTTAATTCTTAAATCTTTTTATTCATTACAGTAAACCTAACAAGGGAGTGTTTGTAGCTTTCAACAAAGTTGTTATGGCCTGGACAAGATGATCTTTACTGCAAATATGAGTTATGTCCCTTAGAATATCTCTTAGAAAAACCTAAAAAGCCATACAATATATTGTCCAGTGTTTTGATCTAGATTCACACAATGTCCATCCATTAGATAGACGAAAATAACTTGCAGAGCTTTTGTTAAACCTAAATATTCATTTTTGCCATATCATACTTTATACATCTCATCTTTCGAAAGTCTATTTTTATTAATATTAAAGAAGAATATTTTTATTGTCTGTAGATATATTTTATCATTTATATTTATTGTCATGAATTATATTTTTATAATTTGGAACCAATTTTTATTTATTTTCTTTTTAAATCTTTTTTTTTTGCCTTTGACTGTGATCTATGTATTTGTGAATTTAATTTCTTACTAAAAATAATTTTCTTTGAATAGAAAATGAATGGAGGATCAAATTGTCTCTCTTTCTGAAGTCTTCAGGGAAGTCTGTTTGTCTGTCTGTTTTGCAATGTAGTTTTTGTTTGTGGTATATGTTAAAGCAATCGATCATGTGAAATATGTCACACATGTATATGAAATAGCTTGTGGAATGGTTTTAAAATTGTATCATGTTTAATGTTATTGAGTGAAAACTGTTCATGTTTTCAACATGGAAAAACCCTAATTGGATCTATTTCAGGTTCATAGATTCATTTTCTTGTGAAAAAAAGATTGTAGAATTCCGTCCATATTTTACCAGTCCCAATAACATTTCATTATTTTGATTTACATTAACTTGTTTGTGCATAAAAGTGCTTTTTGTAGGTGTATCAGGGCTGTGATTGTATGTTTAGAAATAAAAAGAATCATTTATGAGGCTCATCAGTATTTGTAAATCCACTTAATATTTAATTATTTTTGTAGACATAATAATTTAATACAAATTGTTTTTGAATAAATAATTTACAATGCTTTGTATCTTTTTGTTTGCATGATGTAAAGTAATGATGGATGACAACACTGATGTTGTTCATCTATAAATATTCTTATATACCAGTACTCATTGACAAACTTTGCATGTGTTTGATTGTGCATTGTCAGTGATGTATACATGTATACCCATATGACGGCCATAAATCGGATTTTTATTTGTTGAGCCTGAAGTACCATTTTACGACAACAGATTTTAAACTATTCACTCTTTGCTTCCTAGCCCTCAGTTCAACAAAGGAGGGAGCAGCAATGAAAAAGACAGGACTGGGAGCCAGGAGAGCAAAGGGGGAACAAAAATGCTTGGGGGATAAATAGGTTATTTGATTGGAACTATGTCAAGATTTGATTCAATCCTTAAAAGTACATTGTGTCCAAATAAATTCAGTTGCCTCCTTTCCAATGATGATTCTTGACAAGAACTGAGCAGCAAGGCTGGTTCAAGATTTACCAAGGAATCTTTATGTTTAAATCAGTGTGAAAAAGTAGACAAAACTTTATTATATTACACACAATCTTTGCCTATCAAAAACTGAACTAACATTTTTTTAATGTACCTAGAATACATTCATAATATTTAGAATATATATAATAACACAGAAAAAGTTAGAAAAATCAAAAGATTTTTCACTCATTTGAATCATTGGCCCTGCTTTTTAGCTCACCTGAGCTGAAAGCTCAAGTGAGCTTTTCTTACCACATTTTGTCTGCTGTCCTCCTGTCTCTCTTACCCATCTATCTGTCCATCTGTAAACTTTTCACATTTTTGACTTTTTCTCCAGAACCACCAATCCTAACCAAACTTTCCACGTGGCATCCTTGGGTAGAGAAAATTCAGGTTTCTCAAAAGAAGGACCATGCCCTTTTCAACGGTAGATAATTCGGAAATAGTTAAAATTAGTGCCATAGTTTAAAATTTTCTTTTCAAGAACCACAGATCCAAAAAAGTTTCAAGTATTTTTAAATGCACTTGTACAAATGATGACCCCTGGGGGTAAGATGGGACCATAATGGGCAATCAATATACATGAGTAGGGACACTATCTTTAAAAATCTTCTTAAGAACAGCAAAACCATGTTTACCTAATCTTTTTAATGTGGAAGTATCCTCAGGTAGTGCAGATTCAGGTTTGTTCATAGTTCAAATGATGTTCACTGGAAGTAGGATGGGGCAGCAATGAGCGATGAATGGAATATTTAGAATAAATCTCAAGAACAGAAAAGCAATGTTTAGTCATATTGATATGGAAGCATCCTCAGGTAGATTCAAATTTGTTCAAATCATGACCCTGGAGGATAAAAAGGGCCCCCAATAAGGGATCAAATTTTTACAAAGGAATATTGAGGAAAAATCTTGTGTTCAAGAACAGCAAAGCTATCTTTGGATATTGTTAAATTCAATTGTAAACCTTTTCAATGCTGGATTGATTTGTGCTTTTGCATAGCCAATGTGCTCACGTGAGCGATGTGACTGACGGGCCTCTTGTTTTCTGATTTTTTTAAAATTTATTCCTGGGAAATCTGTTTGACCCTAAATTATGGAGCAGCAAGGAATTATAGTTTTGTAATGAAATGGAATAACTACAGTGGATTGGAATGCTCCTGAAATTGGCCAATCGAATCATTGCAGAATTAGCCAATCAATGATTACATTTCAGCCAATCAGAGTTAACAACTGTAAACAAATAAGTAGTAATTAGGCATAAGACAAAAGGTATAAATACAGACACTTATCTAGATTTCGTTTATTTGATTGTTACTTCTTGCTGGAGTAACACTTCTGGGCTAGGTTCTTTGGCTGTGTCAGGAAACAATAGAATTGTTAGTTAGACTACTCAACACAGGGATCTAATATTTCTCAATGTGGGTGACTAGTGTCTTAGTGACTTTAGATCGTGTCTTGGTGACTTTAAAGAAATAAAGGCATTTCAGTAGCTTTCTAGGGTGTGTTGTTAGTAAGCTTCAGACTGTGTCGGGAAACAATAGAATTGTTAGTAAAACCACTCATTCTGCAACTGCAGAGATAAAGTTATAGATGAAATGTATGGAGATAACGAACTCAAGCTCAAAAGTCCACGAAACAATACAAATCAGGAGTAGAGCAAACATGGACCTCCAAAACATCGGGGGTGGAATCAGGTGAAATGGAGGAGTGAGCATACCCTTCCGAACTGTCACACCCGCCGTGTGCCCCATGTCATGATCAGGAAATAACGGAGAAATCCTTCGTCAATTCAGTGTATAAATAATGGACAAACAATTAGTATGAAAAACGTCAGTCAGCATTTGACTCAATGATAAAATCTATTGCTGACAAGGTCGTTGTATTGACCATAGAACTTACGAAATGATGACTTTAAACAAGACTGCTGATATTTTTGTTTCATCAACTTGTTTGTCAATAATTTATCTTGTTTTAAAAAATGTCTATATGTAGAGCATGCTCTTGTGTATCGAATCGACTGAGATATATAAACTCAGTATGCAGGTGATGAAGGTATATTGATGCATATGATGATAAGTAAGGGAAGTTGACGATAGAACAGTTAAAGTCATCATGTTTATCATAGAGATTGGTTGTTAGACTACCATTAATGTCTTTTGCGAGTAAAATAACCAAGTATAAAACAGATGTGTCTGACTCTGTGGTATCTTTTATCTCAAGGTCATGAACCAGGATATATCGTATTAACATAAGAATGGGAATTACCAAATGTTGTTTATTGACAGTACGTCATTGATATATCTTAATGTCGAGTTGAAGGACACAGCAAGTGATTTCTTCTTTTCATGTATAAGAATTTGCACAAATTCTGATTCAAATGAATACAAAAATATGTCTGCTAATAACGGAGCGCAATTGGTACCCATGGGAATTCCAATAGTTTGTTGGAAGACCTGGTCTCCAAAAACAACATAGATATTGTCAATCAGAAACTCAAGCACCATTTTGATGTCAACTTCAGAGTTCTTGTGTGTGCAGTCAGAATGTGTTTTAATAAAATAATTTTGAAAATGACCAATGACAAGGTAAGTAAATTTACGAGTTCCATTTTTATTGAAAAAGCAGTTGTCAATGATATAAATATTCCTGGACTGTAATTTGTCGTAGGGAAGGGTTATGTATAAAGTTGAAAAGCCGTAAGTTTTTTAAGCTGTTGGTTTTGATAAAATCTGATTTCAAATTGTCCTAAAGTTCTTTGGAATTTTTGAGTATCCACATCTGATTCACACCACATCTTGAATATATTGTTGCACAGTAATCTTGAAGTTTCGCCTTTACTACTGTTAATATCTTAGTGATGTGATGAGCAAAGAAAAAAGCTTGGTTGAACATTTACTGGAACCCGCAATGTATCTTTGTAAGTTTCGGAATCATATATATATATATATATATATATATATATATATATATATATATATATATATATATATATATATATATATATATATATACATACATACATACACATACATATGGTAGTTCAAAATCATTTTGGTTCTTTGGGATATTAAAAATATTCAAAACTGACACTTGATTTTGAAGAATTTTTTCCTTAGAAAAGGAACTATGAGTATAAGTTAGATTTCCACATGTAGAATTAAATCCAGGTTCTTCTAAAATACAATTCATATGAGCCTTACAAACAAAGACAATGTTGTTGCCTGCTTTGTCAGCAGGGACCAATACGTACTGATCATGTAATCTATCTAGCTTTTTTTTCACATCTGGATTATTTAATACAGAAAGATATATGGTTTTCATATTGCCCCTCAATCTTTTAATACGCGATTTCAACATAGATCTGATACATTAATGATTTAATCCATTCTGACAAAGTTTCTTTTTCATATCTGGCCCATCGTCTGGCGTAATCTTCAACGGAATCCATAATATTTATGAAATTCCGACGCCAGTTGAACAATCGGAAAGAAATAAAGCAAACAATTTTAAATGTCGGTAAAATCGGACAAAATAGAAGTTGGTTTTAGAACAACATTATTTTCATAGAAACATGACTGTAAGAATCGATGCTATTATCCCAAACAACAAATATATTTAAAATGGTGTTGAATGACTCCAGTTAACACTGTAAAAGATATTTCCTTCTTTATCCTTGGGATATCTACTCTCCTGTATTATTTTTTTCTCAAAACGCTTTGTAGAGAATTTGGTGGAACTTTAAACATCACCTTTAAAAACTGATGTCTCCATATTGCAGTTCAGGGCAAATGTTTAAGTTTTTCAATTGCAAGTCCATAATAGTTTTATTATCCTGAAGAATATACAATTATCAATTAGATAAAGTAGAAAATAGTAATCAAACCTCTTGTTTTCTTCTACTCTGCTCCGATTCCATACTTTCAAAATATGTCAACAGACAAGTTTGACGTCATCGTTAGAATTTATTGTTTACCGATCCCGCATATTTAGCCATTGTTCTTATTTCCGGAGTGAGGGTCATGTTCAAATATATTTATATAAAAAAATGCAAATGAAACGTTTGCTTAGCTATGAAGCCCCTTGCTTCTTCTGTCTTTGTATATCATTACTATACCCCAAATTTCTACGACGTTTGTGGCATATTTAGAAGTAAAATAAGTGACTACATGTATATCGAAAGTAAATAAAACAATATTATTCTGCAATATAAATTTTATTTTTTGTCATTGTGCATGCAGGAAATTAAAGAGTAGTGAACAGATGTATAAAAAATAATCAAACGAATAAACAAACAGAAGATAAAACAGGCCAAGTAGTTTATGTCATCAAAAGAAGACTATCTCTTCATCTTAAAAAAATCCCCACAGCCTAAGTAAAAGGTATAAAAGTATTTACCATATGAACCAAGTTTCAGATACTCCTCCTTCAAGTCAACATCAGTTTCTCTTTGAAAATTTATGACGCATTTGAATAAGGTCGAATATCATTCTACGAGACTCAAAAGTTTTAAGTGTATTCATGCGCGATTTATATACTAAGTATAGTAGTGAAAAAAACTCCAGTAAGGACACATTTGGAGGGAGGAAGTATAAATGTTTGTTCACAATTTTGAAGGAAATATTCTTGTCAGGTGTTTAATGACTGTTTACGTTATATTCTTTGTTCAGAAAGATTTGTGTCAGCTAGGAGAAAAAGAAAAACTAAAAATAGAGGTAATTTTTTTTTTGGTAATAAAATGAGATTCTTATTTTTTTCTAGACTTTACAACAAATTTGCAATATATTTACTAAAATGTGTCGAATAGAATTAAAAAAAAAACGATTTTATTCATATACTTATCAGACCAAGAGAATGTATCCCAGTGCTTAAAACAAAAGTGTAGTCTACATGAACATCTAGGTCAACCCAAATTTAGCAGTACTATTGATATTTTGCAACAGATTTATGGTGTGCAGCTGCCATAAGCCACTTATGACAAGTGCCTACATTTATTTGTTTTCATTAAATTAAGAAAGAAATAAAGGACTAAATTAGCAGAAATCGTTTTCGCCATATGCCATTTTCGTTATTGATACAGACCATTAATTATATTTTACCACATTAATGTGCAAAGTAATAAAATGAAAAAGAAGGATATGGAGATAACGAACAGTATTCAATATCAAAGTCCATAAAACAATACAAAATAGGAGCAGAGCAAACACGGACCCCTAAAAACATCAGAAGTGGGATCAGGTGCCATGGAGGAGTGAGCATCCCCTGCCGACCGGTCACATCCGCCGTGTGCTACTTATCATAATCAGGAAATAACGGAAAAATCCGTCGTCAATTTAGTGTATAAATAATGTAATAACAATAAGCATTAAAAACGTCATTCAGCATTCAACATAATGATAAATTGTATTTACTGACAAGGTCATTGTATCGACCATTGAACTTACGAAATGATGACTTTAAACGAGACTGTTGATATTCTTGTTTCATTAACTTGTTTGTCAATAATTTCCCTCGTTTTAGAAATTGTTCATACGTAGAGCATGCTCTTGCAAATCGAATCAACTGAGATATATAAACTCCGTATGCAGGTGACGAAGGTATATTGCTGCATAAGTAAGGGAAGTTGACGATAGAAAAGTTAAAGTCATCACGTTTATCATATAGCTTGGTTGTTAGATTACCATTAATGTCTTTTTCGAGTAAAATGTCTAAGTATGAAACAGATGTGTCAGACTCTGTGGTATCTTTTACCTCAAGCTCAACAGGATATATCGTATCGACGTAAGAATGGGAATCACCATTGTTAATTGACAATACGTCGTTGATATATCTAAATGTGGAGTTGAAGGCCACAGCAAGTGTTTTCTTCTTTTCACGCATAAGATTTTGCACAAATTCTGCTTTATATGAATATAAAAATAGGTCCGCTTATAACGGAGCGCAATTGGTACCCATGGGAATTCCAATAGATTGTTGGAATACCTGGTCTCCAAAAACCACATACACATTGTCAATCAGAAACTCAAGCATCTTTTTGATGTCAACTTCAGAGTACTTGTGTGTGCAATCAGAATCTTTTTTAACAAAATAATTTTGCAAATGACCAATGACCAGGGAAGTAAATTTACGAGTTCCATTTTTGTTAAAAAAAGCAGCTGTCAATGATATCAAAAAGCCTGGACTTTATCGACTGAATATATCGAGGGGAATGGTTGTATATAAAGTTGAAAAGTCGTAAGTTTTTAAGCTGTTGATTTTTGTAAAATCTTGTGATTTCAAATATTCCAAAAGTTCATTGGAAATTTTTAGAGTATCCACATCTGATTCACACCACTTCGTGAATATATTGTTGCACAGTACTCCTGAAGTTTTTCCTTTACTACTGTCAATCCTAGTGAGGAGTAACGAAAGAGGCTTGGTTGAACATTTACTTGAACCCTTAATGTATCTTTGTTTCAAAGCAATTAAAATATTAAAAAGATAAATCGATATATTTTCGGACTCCGCATTTAGATTTGAGACATGGTTTAAAGTCACTTTAACAAAAGAAACTTGGGGTTAATCAAGTTCAAAATCGGTGAAAATTTGAATTTGAACATATATAACAAATATCATGTTCATCTACAATGTACACGCATGTTCATTTTTTTATTTTTTAGCTCAGATAAGCCATATATAGCTTTAAGCATATGTTAAAATTTTAATTTAATCGAGGTAGCCTTACTTTTCCTTCCGGCCACCAAAAACACCCTCTGTTTCTATACAAGAGTCCGTATTTTTGTGTCTTTTTTTAAGGAGTTGTATTGTATTGATAACAAAAACTTAAGCATCTTTTTAAAAACATTTGAATAAATTGGGAGATTTTGGAGTATTGGGAAAGTCCTGAAATTTATTAGAGATTTGGACTATGTCTATGCAAACTAAAAGACAATGCAACATGAAAGGCAAGCAGAAGAAAGTACTTTGCAGATACTTTGATATGAATTGGTATTTCTGAGCAATATTTGAAATAATCGTGAACAGATAAAAAAGATAAAAAAAAAAAAACCAGAAAAGAAAATGAAAATAAAATAGGCTGTGTATTCAAAAGAAAATAAATTTACTTTTTTCATGGTACTGAACATTGTTTAAAAAATCTATATTTACCATGTGAACCAACTTTTCTTCCTCGTCCAACTATACACCGTCAGCTCAGCGTTATACCAACAACAAGATAAAAAACATTGGTCTACAATTTTACAAAAGGCACTTAAGTTCGTAATGAATGTATTCGTGCGCGCTTTTTTTCCCGTTATTATAGATATGATTGAAACAAAAAAAATCTAATAATTTTTTTCCACATAAATTTTGTTATTTATTTAATTACAGAATTAAACATTTGAGAAAATATTTTATAAAATGAAATAACAATAAGACAGTAAAATCGCATTTCCGACGCGGAGGTGTAATAATACACATAAGTATTCAACCAAAGCTTGACCGAGTCTATTGTCTTTGTTAGATTTAAATCTTGTCTTTTATATTTCTTAATTATTATTTTTAGTGCATACATTGTTGAATCAAGCTAATCAAAATAAAGGAGATTATTTAAGCATGAAATATGGAGATACCGAACAGTATTCAAGCTCAAAATCCATTTAAACAACACAAACCGGGAGTATAGATAAAACACAGAGATAAAAACATCAGTGGTGGACTCAATGACATAGAGAAATAAGCATCCCCTGCCGACCGGTCACTCCCACCGTGTGTTCTTATCATGATCGGGAAAAACAACAAAAAAATCCGTAGACAATTCAGTGTAAACATTGGGCTAAAATTAGTAAGAAAATAGTCAGTAATGATATGTTGTATCATCGTATCGACTCTAAACTTGCAAAACGATGACTTCAAAGGAGACTGTCAATATCCTTGTGTCAACAGCTTGTTTATTAATAGCTTGCCTCGTTTTATAAATATTTCAAACGTAGAACCTGCTCCAGCGTATCGAATGAACTTTTAGACATAAAGCCCAATATAAAGGTGATGAGGATATATGGCTATATTAGTAAGGGAAGCTGACGATTGAAAGATTGAAGTTGTCATATGTGTTTATGTTTCAAAATAATAAATACAAAACATATGACATAGTATGACATTAATTGTCTACGAGATCTTCATTATATGGCTATATAGATAATACGAGGACATTATTCAAGAGTTCATCAGCGGCAAGCTCATAATTGACGAACCACAAGACAATGATGTAGATTTTTTTGCTGATTTATTTACGATAAGGGGGTTTAGAACTCAGGTTGAAAGACTTTTGTCATTTAAAGTCATTTAACCACATAAAAAAGAATAGTTATTGCTTAAATTCATTAATGATAGCCTAGACTTTAAATATTCACTAGATCTTTATTAAAGTAAAATTAAATTAAATGATTAATATTAATGATTTTTCATAATTAAGACATTTTTCTATTGACCTGTATTTTATTCGTAAGATATTATGTAATGAGAGACATTCATGCTTACCTGAGTTTTATGAGTTGTCACTGTAAATGTTTTGTTGAAATCTTCATTAACAGAAAAAACAGAGTATCCAATCCACATTTGTTTATGCTTGGAAACAGAAAAAATGTAAAGCAGTTTAATTAATTTTATTTTAAGGTGGGGTTCAAGTCTTTACTTTAAGTTGCTATTATTCAGGAACCTTGATCATGGTGACGGTGGACTCATCATGTTTGGGTTGTATAAGAATAATAGATATGACGATAAGAAATAATGATCAAGCAAAATAAACCTGTAAATGAAATATCTGTAGATAACAACAGTATTCAAATCAAAATTCCAAAAACCAATACAAAACAGGAGTAAAGCAAACACGGACCTCCAAAAACATCATATTTTATGTCGAAAACATCGAAACACAGAGCAAATTCAAATTTGCTCAACTCATTTCATTCCCAGCTTTGGACCAAAGAGCTCAGGTATGCATTATGATACTCAGGTGACTGTTAAGGCCCATAGACCTGACTTGTTAATTTTTTTAACACTTAGCTGTAATTTAATGTAGCAAAATAAATGTATTTTTTATATTACTGTAAAATCACATATTTAGTGGGGTCAAATTTTCGTGATTCCAGTAAAACTCTTGGTTCGTGGGGATTTGAATTCGTGGATGAAAAATTGTTGAGTAGTTATGTATAGCATTTTACATTTCGTGGTGAACATGATTTCGTTGGTCACTTCATACCTCGGAAACAAAGAAAATAAACCCCCACTAAAATTTGTGATTTCACAGTAATTTGGTATGCTTTTCATAATTATCAGATATTTCTCAAAACTAACATCTTGAAACCTTGCACCGCTGACAACTGGGATGAAGCCTTTCTCTCCCCGGTCTCCTGGTGACATTAATTTAGAGGACGTGGTGAAATTCTCCAGAGCTGGTGGTAAACTAAGTCAAGGAGCGGTGAAGTTTGTGGGGCATTTACCGGGCCGCAGTGATGCTTATTTAGGGATGGAGTTAGACAAAGAAGGTGGTTGTGATAACGAAAACATTGACAAATCTTTGTTATGGGAGATTTCTCATATTTCTTTCAGTTCATTGGTAAAATTTATTTTAACTTACTTTATTTCGGTTTTCAGATGGAAAACATGATGGAAAATTTGAGGGAATGAGATACTTCCGATGGTATGAAATATATGATTTTTCTAGCGTATAAATTATGTTTGATTATCCTGAAAATTTTAAATTAAATGATTTTTTTTTTACTTATTCTGTGTAATTTATAATTTTAAAATCTTTTTATTTATTACAGTAAACCTAACAAGGGAGTGTTTGTAGCTTTCAACAAAGTTGTTATGGCCTGGACAAGATGATCTATACTGCAAATATAAGAGTCGTCCCTTACAATATGTCACAATTGAAAACTGTTCATGTTTTAACATGGAAAAAACCTTAATTGATCCTATTTCAGGTTCATAGATTCATATGCTTGTGAAAAAAGAAAGACGGTTGAATTCCGTCCATATTTTACCAGTCCCCATAACATTTCATTATTTTGATATATATTCACTTTTTTGTGCATAAAAGTGCTTTTTGTATGTGTATCTGGGCTGTGATAGTATGTGTAGAAAAAAAAATCATTCATGAGGCTCATCAGTATTTGTAAATCCACTTAATATTTAATTATTTTTTGTACACATAATTTAATATAAATTGTTTTTGAATAAATAATTTACAATGCTTTGTATCTTTTGTTTGCACTGAATTTTTTGAAGAATTTTTTAATGAAAATAAATGATGAATCAGTCGTTTTGAAATAATTTTATTTACTCGTACTTCACATGCATAATGATTGTCCATTGTCAGCAATATATACCCTCATGATGACTATATCTTCAATTTTGTTTTATGTTAAGCCTGTAACACCTTTTTAGCACACATCAACGATGTTGGGGAAGCTTTTGTGATACCCTTGGTGTCGGTATTGATGTGCAAGGGTAAAGTTTTTGATTCAGTTTTTATGCCCCCTTCGTAGAAGGGATGGCATATTGCTTTGCTGCTGTCTGTCGGTCTGTCGGCCCATTTAGTTTCCGTTCATTTTCTTCATAACCTTTGCACATACTGAAATGAAATTTGGTATACAGGTATATCAGATGAATATCTAGGTCTCTAAGTTTTGTTTTTGGTACAGTCACGCCATTTTTGACAGAATTATGCCTCTTGGATGAAAAAAAATTCCAACGTTTTCAGTTTCAGTTTGATTTCTTTAGAGAGGTTGCAAATACTGACATGAAATTTAGTGCACAGATTAATCAGATGATAGGCCTTAAGTTCTGTTTTGGGTACGATTGCACTATTTTTGACAGAGTTATACCCCTTTGGACTTGGAAGAATTCTAATTTGGGGGAGGGGAACGTAAGTGTTTTACAAACATCTCTTGTTTATCTAAGAACTTCTTATGCCCTACTGTAGGTAGCTACATAAGTCAGAAATGCATGGAGGGTGTTTCACTTTACCAGCTAAGGTTTCAGCTGCATGAGGCGCCGTTTTTGGTAATTACTGCCAAAAAGTGATATCACGTATTCAAATTATTTATGAAATAACAACAGCTCCCAAGACTGTAGACCCTTAATATTATCTACTTTCACTTTCGTTTTATAACTCATCATTCAAGGAGACAATAGATTAGAGTTTTCCATTCAATTTTAATCAACCTCAATAGAAATTGTAGTTTGTTTTGCTCACAAATTAATTTATTTCATGGTCTATCATGTGAACTTTAAGAAAAGTGGAAAATGCATGAAAAAACTGGGTAGTCCGAATTTTCTTGGTTCCAGTGGTAATTTTATATTACAGGGAACTTTCGTTATTTTTTCTTGTGAGAAATTCAAATTGGTAATACACTTATTCACCTATTCAGCATGAATAGGTTATATCACCTATTCATTTCCAATAGGTGATATCACCTATTCGAATAAGTGATATCACCTTTTCAAATAGGTGATATCACTTACTGGGTATTGAAAATGAATGGGTGATATCACCAATTCGAATAGGTGATATCACTTTTTGCTAAAAATACCAAAACGGCGCCTCATACAGCCGCTTCAATTTCAGCAAGGTAAAGACCAGATTGATGTTTTTGGACCAGGTTAAAATTTTGGGCGCAGGTTAATGTTTTTGGTGTATGTCTTATTTCGTAGTTACTATAAGCCCTATTTATGTTGACCAAACTTGCATGGATGATACATCGATGGTAGTAAAAGCATAGTAAAATAGTAGGGAACGAAGAGTATCACTACCTCAACAAAAACCTTACATTTCCACTACATATAAAGGGATACATTTACCGCTACATTGCCTATTTTGTTAGCCAGACCTTTGTGCATGTACAGATTGATGTAAAGTGCAATATATACATGTAAAACCTGTATCCCCTGAAATACAAAATCCCACATTCACACGCAACTCCAAAATATATAGAATGAGATGTTAAAATTATGGACTTGTATTACCCGGTAATTATATTCAAATATTTAAGGTAATGTTGACCTCCCAGTAGGGACTGTATTTAGCCAGATTGCATCTATGATGCATACTACCAGACTTTCTTGGGATGCTGGATCTGGCCTGCATTTTCCGGTTGAGGAACACGTAGTTTTTGTTGCAGGTTTCATTTCCAAGTAACTCTATGCCCTATGTTGACCAAAGTTGCATGAATGATACATCTGAGAATGCAAACTACCAGGCTTGCTTCTGGTCTGGATCTGACCTACATATTTTGGATGATTGAACAGGTTAAAATTTTAGCTGCAAGTCATTTCCAAGCAACTTTAAGTCTTAGATTGTCTTGACCAAACTCACATGACTGATACATCTGAGAGTACACCCTATTGGAGTTGCATTTTTCAGCCAATGAACCAGGTTGAAGTGCATGTCTATTACTAAGAAACCTTAAGAAGACTTAATTTGCATGGATGATGCAACAAGAAATGAACAGTCTGAAACTTGTTTAAAGTTGTTTCAGTTACTGAATTGAATTATATTTTATAGGCGTCGAAACCGGGGGGGGGGGGGGGCTTAGCAATTTCAGTTGGGGTGTACAGCCATACATTTTCTGACCGTGCATTTTAGAATTTATTAATGATGGGGTAACCTGCGTCACCTTTCAGAGTCTGCAGTGGACTTGTCCAAGGATGCTTTGTCGGCGACTGAAAAAGTTACTGGCTGCGGATTTCACTCATTGTTCATTCGCCATAAAATAGAATCCGATATTTAACACTTAATACCTTTGAATATACAGACTTTTTTAACATAAGCTTCATTTTTGTTTCTAAAATATTTTTATCTACAAAAATAATGTACATTGTATTTTTGTATTTTAAACTGAGTAAATAGATGACCTAGCATCGCTATAGATAAAAATAGGACTTGAGTAAAAATCTTCAAGATTCATCTTTCCAGAACAGCAAAGCCTCGAATAGGCCATAATTATATTGAAACATCCTCATGCAGTGGGGATTAAACTTGGAGAGAAGGGTAAGACCACACTGGGGGATCAAAGTTTTACAAAGAAATATAGAGAGGATATTTATATTCTATTGATAAAACTTCTACCCGTGGATAAAGCATAGATTTATCTCATGGGTAGTATCATCCACATGTATGAGATAAAAATATAAAATCTTCAAAAATCTTCTTCAAAAGAACCACATTGCTATGTTTACTCATAATGAAATGGAAACATCCTCCGGTAATGTAGACTCAATTTTGTTTAAATCAAGACCCATATGACAAGGTGGGACTACAAGGTATTATCAGATCTTAACATTTGGATGTATAGGAAAAAATCTTTTCCTCAAGAACAACAAAGCCATGGTTAATCGCATTGATACATGTATAGAAATATATTGTCAGAACATGCATATTCAAGTTTGATGAAATCATGACCCTGAGGGGTAGAGAGTCATAACACTTTGGGTTAGAGTGGGTTCACAATAGGGTTAAAAGTTTTAAATATAGGAATATATAATGCCTGCCATTTGAACAAAGAAAATTAATATGTAGGTTGCGTACATCTTCTCACAATTTACAAATTGAAAGAGGCCGGTACTTTGGCATTCCTAGAGATCAAAGACTTTGTACTAAATGCTCAATGAATGTTATTGAAGATGAAAAACACACACATTTTGAATGTTTGAGTTTTGTTATAGAACGAGAGAATATGATTAATGTTATACAAAGACACTGTATCAATTTTTCTCATTTAAATAATGAAAATAAGTTGTGGTGGGTTCTAAATTGTGAAAATATTGAAGTACTTTCAGCTGTTTGTGAACTGGTTAGACAAGCCATATAAAATACTGATGCATATAATGTGGCATTTCTCTTTATAATGATAATAGGTGCATGTAAACACTGTATGTACTAAATTTAAAAAAAAAAAAATCTGTAGTGAAGTTCTTTTGAATTGATCAAGGGTGCAATATAGTGTGTCTTCTACATGTATAAAGAAATTAAAAAAAAAAAATTGTATACTTCAAACACTTAATAAATATTACTTTTTTCATAAGATATGCAAACAAAACATGGTGAATTATAAAGTACCAATGCACTGTCCCGTGGTATCTTTTGCAATTTAGTGGAATATAGCTACTCAGTATGTATGTGTGTGGACATGTATATATATATGTATGTATGTATGTGTTGGTATGTAATATATATATATATATATATATATATTTTTCATTTCTGTATATGTATATATCATTCTGTAGAAGTACTTTTTTCCGCGTGGTATTAATTTACGCTATGTACGCGGTCACATATTTTCAGCGGAAATTTATCCACGCGTTCTTAATATAAATGTAAGGCATATAGTGACAGACTGAGAAATCCGCGTAATTTTCTACTCACAGATTAAACAGAAATTGAGATTCCGCGGAATTATGTCCCCGTGGAAAAAAGTACGTCTACAGCATCTCTGGCTTTTTTGCATTATGATACACGGTGGTACTTCTTTATAATTTAATTTTGCTTGTATTCTTGCCTCTCATTGGTTGATTTCCAAAAAGGAACGTAAAACATTTTGTATAATCTGGTTTGGTATGGGGACACACCCCCTTGACAACCAGCATAATCATCTGTATCCATCAATCCCCTCATTTCCAGTCCTTGGGATTCATGGAAAATTCCAGATTTAATTAATGTACCTTTAATTTCAAACAGTTACTCGATCTTACCTCATGTAAACAAGCATCATGGCTGCTAGATCTATGTATCAGTTTTTACCTCCCCTCGCTTCCCATCACTTCCGTTACTACGGTTGAATTATTGCGCGGAAAATTTGAACTCATAAAAACAACACAATTTTACATCCCCAGTAAAATAATTAT